GAAAGCCAACATAAGCGAACTTGAGGCATTTTAAAGTACTTCCTTCTCTTCCTCATGTCAACAAAATATCTTCATTATCCTCATCCTGTTTAACTTTCCATCTTTTCCACCTGGGCATTCTCTAATTCCACATATTTAAGTACCTCCTCCCTGCAGATGATTCTGTGTTCACACACAAAATGTGCTCTCAGATCCTCTGTCCTGCACTATATTACCTCACACCATCACTTCCCAGACACCTCTTAAGAAGTTGTCAATCAGAATGTCATAACAAGAATTTTCCTACCTCAAGTCTAAATGCAGGTCATTGTAAAATGGGAGGTAACATTAGAATGAGTCAATTATATGTTCATGATAAAAATGTAATCATGGTACATATTCACTAGGAAGAAGATGATCTTTCACTATTAGTGTGACAACCCTTGCCAAGCTACCAATGACAGAGACTAGGTGTGTTGTACTGAGCAGTACAGATACAGCCATTACCCGTTTCAAAACTCAAAGCACATTCGTCTCTGCCTTTTTAAGTTCAAACCTAAACATAGAATCTGAGTGTCATGATCACTGCCTTCTCTTGTTCTTTACCAAGTCAATTCCAATTTTACCCCAACACACAATATCCAATCCTCTCAAGAGGCATTCAGTTGAAAAGCTCATCTACTGAAGTTTCTTAATCTCCGCTTTTTTATGTAACACTACTTTTTATGTTTTTGTATTTCTGCAGAAAAATGGTACCCAGCAGTCAATCTTCTAAACTTTTGGGCAGGTAAATAAGGTGTTTGACTTCTATGTGTTCTGAGTTGCTCTTACTTCTACTGAGTTGTTTTTCCATTCCCTACTTGCTGACATACTCTGTAGCCATATTCAATATAAAACAATGCATGGTTGAGCAGCAGGATTTTCTTCAGAAGGGCTTGCAGGCTGTTCTCACCCAGCTAGTTCTTGTACTTTTCCAGTTTAAACATTCAGGTGTCAGTTTCTGTAGGAGGGGAGAAGTTGCTCCCTGTTTTCTATGGATTTTAAATTCTAGTAAACTGCCTTTGCAGAAGAAAACAGCACTAGGTTACTTATTAGAAATATTACTTCATGCTTTTCAGTTTGCAAGGCACTCTGATTAAGGAAAGGTATCTAGACCTTGTGGAGAGTTGTTCAGTGTTTCATCATTGTAAAGGTACAGACTTCAAAAAAAACCACTCACTGACTTGCTACAATGCTTGTCTGCTTACCCTCAGGCATTTAACTTGGTCTCTAAAATCTACTGTGCACCTCCCCCTCTAAAAATGGAGGATATAATTTAATCCACATAATTGCTCTGATTAATATATAATTCATATATAATGTATGTGTGTGTCTGTGTAGTTTTTTTTATACACATAAGCACAATTCAAGGAGGCAAAGTAAAGCCATCACACATCTGCCAATTGAGAACTCAGCCCTGGCATCACATGTTAAGACTGAAAAAGTTATTTTGCTGTCTTGCGCTGTTCAGAACATAACAATTTTCACAGTTTATCTTAAGTGTACTAAAACTCTGCATTTTCTCCTCACTCCCTGCTCTCCCAATACTTGTCTACTCTTATTCATTCTGAAAGAAACCACAAAAAAAAAAAAAGAGGTGGCTTATTTTCTGTTTCCAAAATTAATTTGATATTTGAGTTGTCTAACTCAACCCAGCAAGAAGAATAAAGTAACTGGAAACAGGTATTCACTTCAACTTCAACTAATGCCACTTCTGTGCATTTCTTTTCATTGTATCATGTTATATGGTAAAACTGGGGAGATGGATATAAAACCATTTAAATCCTCCAGAAATCTAAACTAACTAGACAATACAGCTGTTCACGGGCTAAGCAGGCTACCTGTGTAAGAACTCTGCATTACATAAAGAAGTCTACCTTAACTAAATCCAATGCATAAAACAGCTTGTAGAGAACTGATCTGACTTAAGAAAGTCTGATCTGACTGAAGAAAGGATGATTAAAGGAGTGACAGCAGCAGCTTCTCTTCGCTGGAACTTGAGCTAGCTGAAACTCCTATGAGTAGTATTTTACTTGAGAACCTTCTTCAGAAGTTCAGGTTCTTCCTACTTCAATTCTGAGCCTCAGCACATGCCAAGAACTTTTCTTTGATGTGGGAAAGTTGAAGCTGTAAAAAGGTAGGTATTAGACAAGGAAATGAGTTAATCAGATATCCCAGACACTTGTGTTTCCTGTAAGGTTTGAATTAAATTACTTTTTTATTTTGAATTGATTGAAGTAAACTGAGTGATATATGAGCTGAATATTTTATGTCTAAAACCTTACATTTTGCCTTTCTGGATTTAATATGGCCACTTAACTCACGAACCATTGCTATCTTTCAAGGAATACAAAGGCCCTTTAAGCTCAGTATGCATACACCGACACCTACATCTGCTTCTCGAATTCAGTTATAGACAAAAAGAAAACTTTGAAGTAATGTGAATAAAGATTTTACTGTTGAATCGCAAAGATTAATTGCGCTGTAATCCTGAACGTTGGCTGAAGTGGTGGTCTTTCAGGACATATCCTGAAGCTAACCATTGTTTTAATGTTACCGGATTTCCAATACTTCACTTGCACACATCTCTGAACCTTTGTTTGAAATCCTCGTCTTTATTATAAATCTTATAAAGATTTACTAAAATCTTTGTACAAGCCACTAAAGCAGACGCAGTTAATGACATGGACAGACATTTCATTAATGGTAGATTTGAAAGCTGTATGCTTAATACACAGTTATTCTTAAACTCATTATACCAGGTTAGTAGTATTCCCAGAAAGCACAGGAATTATAGCAATTTACAAAAAAGTTAAAGAAGTTTCATAATTTCATGTCAAAGAAGGATTCACCTCTACACAGAAAGTTTGTGTGAGGCAGCAGTCTATTAAGAAAAGTGAACTTGTCCTAAAAGTAGCAGATTTCTGCTACACCAACTTTACCCTTCTTTCTGGTTTGATTTTTTAATTTTTTATATTATACATCTAAGATGCCACACCCTGATCATTACCCTCTTTTCATATTTTTAATCATCATCCACATACAGTTTGTACAAGTAAGTCTGTATATTTCTACTCAGCAGTCAAGTCCTAAGTAAGCAATATTATTTTTTATTTTGCTCTCAGATCCAGCTGTACCCAAATACCTCATGATCCATTTAACAGCGCCAAAATACATAGGAAAAACCTTTATCTGCACTTCCCAAAGTTGCTACTTCACCAGCTGAAGAGGCCAGAATTATTTTACTTTATTTTTAAGTTCAGCTTTCTCTTTCAAACCATCATTGTTTCATTACATAGCAGGTCTGAGAAGTGGTTGAATTAATTCCATTATATCTAATGGAACTTCTGTAAGGAGAAGTGACCGGACTTGCTTATTTTAAAATGACTACGATGTTCCTTTTGTAAGATCCCAAATATCAAGATGACTCTGACCAACTGGATAGATATAATCTCTAATTTTACAGTCTTTTCATTAGTAGACTGCATGACCATGTGCTGTGTACAACAATAGCTGAAACACCTTTGTTAGTACATGTCTGTGCTACACTCTTATTGTTCCTATGCAATATTATCTTGCTCTGGCTGCTAATTTTGGAGGCCTCCCTTTTATAAAGGATTTTGAAAGTATGCAGATGTTTGGGAAAGTGAGATGTATATTGGGAACAACGTATTTTTATTTTACTTCCAGGGCTTTTATGTGAATTGAAGTACATGAGTAATTTGCTCTTTCATCTTACATTTGATTAATAATTTATCATTCACTATTTGATCTTCCGATAAGCAAGAAATATAAATGCAATATATATAAATGGGATAGTCCAAGTACTATACGAAATCCAGAGAAATTGTGACTGCTACTCACTGTACTTGGAAAAAAAGCAATATATGGATCCATTATGTGGTGCAAGAGCAAAACCGTGACAAATTTATGGCATTTCATCTGGTTTCCTTGATTAGGTTCTAAAGACAAAATGACTTTGCCAAAGAGATGTAACACCCTTCACATTGCTGGCTAGACAGATAACACCAAAGTGAACCTATTTACATATAGTGGAGACTGTTCTTTCTCAAACTCAGTCTATGCAAATAAGCAAGTCTCTACAATCAAAGGACAAAACAACTGAGTGTTAGAACATTTTGTCTTGACAATGAGAAATTCTAAAATAAGTGGGTTTTTAAGCAAAAGAACCATAGCTCAGAAACACTCAAGAAACTGCAGAACGTGACAGGTTTAACTAGTAAATCTATTAAACTAACTCCTTTCTCTAAAACTGAGGCTGACTATACCTTAGGAAGCCCCATCTTCAGAAAGTAACAAATATTACCAAATGGGGAAAAGCAAAATAAAGTGCCAAGAGTTACATTAGCTAGTTTGTGTTACTCTGCATTTGTATTTTACTTGCAAACCTATGACAAGGCAAATCTGATCTCAGCTGCACTCCACCACTTCACTTCCCTCACCCTTCTGTAAAGCAGAGGGTTAAGTCTACAACTGGTAAACTGCTGAAGTTTCAACCAGCTATGGTTGAATTTAGTGTTGAAAGCACTGTTCAGACAACAAAACTACTGTCAGCTGGCCTCTCCTGAAGCCCTCCTCCTATTGGACTCCTCCAGCTTCCCCAAAAAAAGTATTAAAAGTATTCACATCCTTCTGGACCATTTCCTTAACGTATGTCTTTCAGGAAAGTGTTCCCCTCCACAAATTCATAGACCAAGGCCAAAACAATTTCCATTTATGATTTCTCATGGGAGGTTGCCCTCACTTATAAACACAA